GCAATCACTGACTGGAAAGGACGACATGCACTCAAATGAGGGGCAGGTAAACCACCACAGTATCTGTTAAAGTATCTGTTAGACTTATCACTTTACTGCATAATAAATAAATCAATCAGACAAATTCAATATTTAGAAAAAAACTATTGCTGCTACTGAAAAGGGTCCAAGATGGTGTAGAAGTAGGGTAGTGGGACCAGAAAGTCACTGGCTCAACTCCCTGCTATGCCCGCATGTCGTGGTGTCCTTGAGCAAGACATCCAATCCCTAACTGCTCCCCAGCCACTTACATAGCTGTCCAATGTGAGGATTGTCTTCCTTTGTGTGTTCATTCACCACTCTGAGTCCCTCCCGGATGGTCGAGCTTCTCAACCTATCTCTAAGGGAGAGCCCAGACACCCTGTGGAGAAAACTCATTTCGGCCGCTTGTATCCGAGATCTCATTCTTTCGGTCACAAGCCAAATCTCATGACCATAGATGAAGGTAGGAACGTAGATCGATTGGTAAATTGAGAGCTTCGCCTTTTGACTCAGATCTCTCTTCACCACGACAGACCTGTACAGCGCCTGCTTCACTGCAGATGCTGCACTTATCCACCTATCGATCTCACGCTCCATTTTTCCCTCATTCGTGAACAAGACCCCAAGATACTTGAACGCCTCTACTTGGGGCAGGACCTCCTCCCTGACCCAGAGAGGGCACTCTATCCTTTTCCGGCTCAAGACCATGGCCTTGGATTTCAAGGAACTGATCTTCATCCCGGCCACATCGCACTTGGCTGCGAACCGCTCCAGCGAAAGCTGTAGATCACGATCTGATGAAGCCAATAGGACCACATCATATGCAAAAAGCAGAGACGCGATCCTAAAGCCACCAAAACGGATCCCCTCAACACCTTGGCTGCACCTAGAAATTCTGTCCATAAAAGTTATGAACAGAATCGGTGACAAAGGGCAACCTTGGCGGAGTCCAACTCTCACCGGGAACAAGTCCGACTTACTGCCGGCAATGCGAACCAGGCTCTGACACCGGTCATACAGGGACTTAACAGCCCCTATCAAAGGGCCCGGTACCCCATACTCCCAGAGTACCTCCCGCAGGGTTCACTGAGGGACATGGTCGAATGCCTTCTCCAAGTCCATGAAGCTCATGTAGACCGGTTGGGCAAACTCCCACGCACCCTCCAGGACCCTGCTGAGAGTGTAGAGCTGGTCCAGTGTTCCACGGCCAGGACGAAAACCACACTGCTCCTCCTGAATCCGAGGTTCGACTATCTGACGGACCCTCCTCTCCAGAAACCCTGAATAGACCTTACCATGGAGGCTTAAGAGCGTCATTCCCCTGTAGTTGGAACACACTCTACGGTCCCCTTTTTTGAATAGGGGGACCACCACCCCGGTCTGCCAATCCAGGGGAACTTCCCCCGATGTCCACGCAATATTATAGAGTCGCGTAAGCCAACACAACCCTACAACATCCAGAGCCTTAAGGAACTCCGGGTGAATCTCATCCACCCCTGGGGCCCTGCCACCGAGAAGCTTTTTAACCACCTCGGTGACCTCAGCACCAGAGATTGGAGGGCTCGACCCAGAGTCCCCAGGCTCCGTTTCCTCAGTGGAAGACGTGCCGGTGGGATTGAGGAGGTCTTCAAAGTATTCTGCTCACCGACCCACGACATCCCGAGATGAGGTCAGCAGCACACCAACCCCACTATAAACAGTGTTGGTGGCATACCGCTTTCCCCCCCTGAGATGCCGGATGGTGGGCCAGCATCGCCTTGAAGCCATGCGGAAGTCATTCTCCATGGCCTCTCCGAACTCCTCCCATGCCCGAGTTTTTGCCTCAGTGACCACCCGAGCCGCATGTCGCCTAGACTTCCGGAACCCATCAGCTGCTTCCAGGATCCCACAAGCCAAAAAGGCCTGATAGGACTCCTTCTTCAGCCTGACAGCATCCCTCACCGACGGTGTCCACCATCGGGTTTGAGGGTTGCCGCCATGACAGGCACCAACAACCTTGCGGCCACAGCTCCGGTAAGCCGCCTCGTCAATAGAGGCACGAAGCATGGTCCACTCAGACTCAATGTCCCCCACCTCCCCCAGAACATGTTCGAAGTTCTCCCGGAGGTGGGAGTTAAAACTCCATCTCACAGGAGACTCTTCCAGATGTTCCCAGCAAACCCTAACAATACGTTTGGGTCTGCCAGGTCTGACCGGCATCTTCCCCCACCATCAGAGCCAACTCACCACCAGGTAGTGATCAGTGGACAGATTTATGAGAACTGGTTCCTGCTTTTTGGATTCGGCAGGTTTCTGGTTTATCAACAGTGAAGTAAGTCATCGGCAGCATATTTGGACCCGATCAGGCTGCTTGCCTTATGATGGCTTGGTTCGTGCCTCGAGCGCCCAAGCTCAAATGCTTTTGGAAGGATGGATCAGAGTTCAGGGATTATTCTCAGGCATGGTCCACTGGTGTGGCCATTTAATTTGGACGTTTTGGAACCGAGTGGACTGACACAGACTCAAGGTAGATGTCATTCAAGTTCTATCTGTCCCCAAAACAATTGTGTTTATCTGAATTTGGCTCCCTGACTGGCCTTGACAGGCCATCTTATCTCAACTCACCTGGAAGTTTTGTAAACCTGAAGCTGTGCCCCTCCCTCCCCTCCTACAGAGGAATTTCCATGGACTTTTCAGAGGGGCCCAGCTGTAAACACATTCTGTCATCATTTCAGGACTCTTTAGATTTGTCCTTGGCCATCCTTGGCACCCACCGAGTGTGTACGGATCTCTCCAGAGGGAATTATTTGAACTGAGTGATTTTATCTGAACACTTCAGTGCCTCTGTGTGTTGTCTCTGACTACTCACCATCCTTGCATCCCCTCCCCCGCGTAATGTCGGCATCATCATGTGCTAGTGTGCAAGATTTTTTTTCATTATCACGCTGTTGACCTATAACCAAAGATTAAGAGCGTGTTAGGATTTTTTTTGTCTCCAAACCCTATATGTCATTTTTCACCACTTTGTATTTTCTGTCCAAACAGGTTTCACTTGTAAATGAGTCTTCAAGGTTCATTGTGACTTATCGGTTTAAACAAAGGTTGAATTGAATTGAATTGAATTGAATTGAATGCCAGCTAGTGCTCCTGAGGTCCCTACTCTGGCTGGTGCTCCCGAGGTCCCTATGCAGCTGCTACTCCTGTGCTCCTGACGCTTCCTGTGAGTTCCTTGCTTCCTGTGAGTTCCACATTTCCTGTGGGGTCCATGCTTCCTGTGGGGTCCACGCTTCCTGTGGGGTCCATGCTTCCTGTGGGGTCCACACTTCCTTTGGGGTACATGCTTCCTGTGGGGTCCACGCCACTTCCTGTGGAGTCCACCCTGCTTCCTGTGGGGTCCATGCCACTTCCTGTGGGGTCAATTCCACTTCCTGTGGGGTTCATGCCCCTTCCTGTTGGGTCCATTCTGCTTCCTGTCGGGTCCATGCCACTTCCTGTGGCATCTACGCCACTTCCTGTGGGGTCCATGCCTCCTCCTACCCCTGTTGTCTCCTCGTCATCATCTGTAGCCTCTCTGGTTTTAGCAACATCTGCAGTCTCCCTGGTTTCTGCATTAGCTAAAGCCCCACTGGTCTTGGCAACAGCTGTGGTCTTGCTAATCTCTGCATCATCTGCAGCCTCCTTAGTCTCAGCGACAGCTGCAGTCTCCCTGGTCTCATCATCATCTGCAGACTCTCTGGTTTCTGCAACAGTTGCAGTTTCTCAGGTCTCCACGACAGCTACAGAACTTCTGGTTCCTATGCTTCTTTTCCCTCATGCTGGGCAGTCTCTCAGGGTGTCCATTTCCATCGGTCGCCCACTCGAACTACTTCCACGTGCTGGACGGCCTCCCGGCCACCCACCAGAACTGCTTCCATGTGCTGGATGGCCTCCTGACTGCCCATCCAAATGGCTTCCAAGTGTTAGATGGCCTCCCGGCCACCCACCTGAACTTTTTTTGTGTTTCTCATGTCAATTTTTGTGTGTATTTCCCAGGTGTACCCTGTTGGTTTTTGTTTTTTTCCCTGGTGTTCTCCTTTGTGCCCTCCGCCCTCCTGGTTCCCCCCTCCTCTCACCCAAAATTCTGGGGGAGGTCTTGGGACATCAAGTGATGACCTTAGAGTGGAGGTACTGTGAGGATTCTCTTCCCTTGTGTGTTCATTCACCACCCCCACCCCCTTGTGGCCTGCTCTGCTCTCCTGTGTTGTTCTTATTTAATTAGTTTCTCCTCTGCCACCTGTTTGTCCCTCACATGTGTTTGTCATTGTCCTCGTTAGTGTGTGTATATAAGTGCGCGTTTTCTTTACTCGTCAGCTGGTCATTGTGTGGTGCTCTTTTCAATGTCAAGCTCCGTTCCTTAAGTTTCCTATGTGACTCCTGTATAAGTGAGTTTTGCTGCCTCATCAGGTTCTTTTGTTTATTTAAATACATAGTATTTATTTTACTCATTGGAGTTCTTCGTGGTCCACCTGCACCATTGGGTTCGACTTACAAAACCACACCGTTTACGACACCCACTGCTCCATATGGGTGTATCTCACATGTGATGGGTTAAATGCAAAGCACAAATGTCATCATTGTTTAGAAACATATGATTATGATAATACATAACAATTTGTTTTACTTTGTATTTGAACCTATAGACCATAACACATAGTGTAAACTAAAAGTCACTGAAGAATACATGGAAACCCCCTTCATCCTTTTTGTTTTATCAACTCTTATCATTAGAAGCAGGTTAGTGTTTCCTGATCCCATTATAAGAACAAACGTAAGGTAAACACTCTTATCCATTATAATCAGAATAATAAAAACATAAATGGTGAGCAAACATCACCTCATCACAGGGTGGTGTGACATTGCCTCAATTGTTCTTCCCAGAAGTTTCCATTAAAGTTCACAAAGGAAAGCCTTTGCACCTGTCTTCTGTCCCTATAAAAGAGTTCTCATTGGAGCAGCCAAACATACAGCAGATCACTCAAGAAAAGGTACCATAGTCATTAGGTGTTTAAAGTAGCCTTTATTTTGTGCAGCAGCATTGCTGATTTATGGATTTATACAGATTTATAGGATTATTATCTAGTGAGAAACAACTTTTTATTTGACCAAAGTCAATAATTATTCTTGATACAACCACTGTTTCTCTTTCAGATTGCTTTAAGAAAAGGTTTACTTTAGTACAACATGGCTCGGCTGATGATCTTGGCTGGTAGGTTCATGGTTCTAAATACTGATTAGATCACAAGCTTGTCAAAACCTATTACTGGTTATTAATCAAATTGTTTTGGATTTTTTTTTCCTTCAGGATTGACTCTTCTGATGTGTCTTCAAACTGGTATGATTAATTATTTTTATGTTCCCTGTGTTTGCATATGAATCACAATCTCAGAGTATAGAAATATGTCTAACATTTTTCTTCTTTTCTCAAAGTTTCTTCAACCAAACTGGTGTGCTACTTTACCAACTGGTCCCAGTACAGAAAAGATGCTGCTAAATATCTCCCTGCGAATGTGGATCCCTACCTCTGCACACACCTGATTTATGCCTACTCAGAAATTAGCCCATCTAATGAGCTGAAAACATATGAGTGGAATGATGAGGTTCTGTATAAAGCCTTCAATGGACTGAAGGTCAGGTGAGTTGTTTCTGCTTCAACATCACCTGGAAATTACAAATCAAAGGAACAACGCAGATATGGTTCTGTGATATAATGTTACATTGATATTCCAATTATTCTGCAAATTAGGCAAAACTTGAAATCCCAACAAATATAATTAATTACTTTAAATAGTGGTTTTGTGTCCAAAGAGTTAACTATTCATCCAAATTTGTCATAACTGCTGCATGTCCTTCACAGAAACCCTCAGCTGAAGACTCTGTTGTCGGTTGGTGGGTTTTACGCGGGAACACACCAGTGAGTCTATAAAACTACAACAACATGCTTTCATGCTTTTGTTGGATCACATTATTTTATTGTACCTAAGAACAAGAAATGTTTTCTGCAGTCACTGTTTTGTTTAAATGTCCACAGATTTCACGCCATGGTTTCAACTCCTGCCAACCGTCAGGTGTTCATCCAGTCTGCCATCAGGTTTTTGAGACAGCATGGCTTTGATGGGCTGGACCTGGACTGGGAGTACCCAGGACACTATGGAGACAGAGAGGACAAGCAAAGGTTCACGTTGCTCTGCCAGGTCTGTCTACAAACATCCATCCTCCCTTAACATGCATCTGCAAGATGCGTTTTATCTTCAAGTAGTTCAACACTTCAATACAAACAACAATTTTGTCTTGTGCATTTTGTTCAGATGTGACAGTTCATGTGTGAGATTTGCCTATTCTTTTTCAATTAAACTAAAATTATAAGGTACTGACTTTTTCTGTTTCACATTTAGGAATTGCATGCAGCTTTTGAGAAGGAGGCGGTTCAGAACAGCAGGTCACGGCTGCTGCTGTCAGCCGCAGTGGCAGCTGGACAGGAAATCATTCACAATGCTTATGAGGTTGCTGATGTTTCTCGGTAAGTTCAAGTTAAATAATGTTTTTATAGTTTTTGTGTGTGTGTGTTTGTTGTTTTGTTTTCATCTGAAAACAGAGTTTTACCAATCCTGGCAACAACAAAAAAGTAAGCACCTGACAGAGTGGAGAAAAATTCAATGAAGATGCATTTGTAGAGGATATGTGATTGCACTACATTGACTTAAAATACTGATGTAATAGATGATGATGTTAGAAGTATGGACCACTGTTGGTCCCATGTTAGTCGGATGGGGCAGACCCTCTAGCTTGGATGCAAGCAGCAGTTCGATGTAGATTGGATGGAGTCATATAGCTGTTGGTCAGTGCTGTCTAATACAAGGCAACTTTTATGTTTGGTGGCCTTCACTCACTGTTTTATCTGACTGTCTGGTGCTCTGGCAACCACCTGATAACAACTGTCATTCCACACACGATGCCTTCTGGTACTTGTTCTAAATGTACTAGCTCCTCGTAAATGATAATCACTTGTCTGCAAATTACGTCCAAATCAGTCAATTCCTTCTGTGCTGAACATTTTTGGAATGAATCTACAAATACAACAAAAAGTTTTAAAACAGAAGAAGCTCAAACAGCATTTCTATTCAGATTGTCAGTAATTGACCCTTTTCTGCAAAAGCTGTAAGCAGATAGGCAGAAAATATTTGGTTAATGGGATGAAGGATAATAACACCAAAGATGGAAGTCCTCCTGTTAACTTATAAAGTTTTGGTCTGTCTACAGTTCATTTTAGTCCAGTTAACAGTTTCACAAGACATGTGGGGACTATAAATATTGATGCAAGTGTGAATACATTTAATCATAAGCATTACTGCAGGAAAGTGCATACAATGTTCTGTATGGGAATTTTATAGGTTTTTTAAATTCAATAGAATCACATAAATAATCACAAAAAGGAAGACTTTAACTTGCAAAATATAAACATTTAGTTTAGTTTTTTTCTCTGCTTTGTTTTATCATCCATTAGGGTTCTAGACTTCATAAATGTCATGACCTACCGCTTACATGGATCTTCGGATAAAATCCTTGGCCACAACAGTCCTCTGTACACCAGTTCTGCTCTTCCGGACCGATTTGTCAACTACAATGTTGTGAGTTAAACCATTGGCAAATCCATAGATTTAGATAATACCACGTACTAGTTTTGTGTTTTGTTTTTAACATTTAATATTTCTGTGGTCCAGGACTTTGGCATGAGATATTGGAGAGATAATGGAGCTCCTGCTGAAAAACTCTTGCTTGGTTTCCCTGCATTTGCACGCACATACACCATGGCATCAGCAAATCATGGAGTTGGAGCACCATCGAATGGAGCGGGCTCTCCTGGGGTCTACACCCGGGAGTCTGGGATCTTGTCTTACTATGAGGTCAGAAAACTTAAACGAAAACCATGTAATTGCTAATGCTACCAAGACAAACAAACAAAACAAAAAATCTGTGAGACAAACGCAAGTAAAAATAGTAAACATTTACAATGATCTCTCGTAAATTCAGGTCTGCACGTTCCTCAACGGAGCCACTACACACTGGGTTGATGAACAAAAGGTGCCGTATGCAGTCAAAGGCAACGAGTGGGTGGGCTTCGACAACAAGCAGAGCTATGAAATCAAGGTGATACATATCATTTTATTATTTACTATAGTACAAATAAGAAAACGTTACAAATCATTATCATTGGTTGCCAGTTTCCTCTAAATGTTGTGGGGGTTTTTTTGAAAGAGAATGAAGCTGATGGTGATGAAGCTTCTTGAACAAATGCTGTTTTTTTATTTTTTTAAACTGAGCAGAAGATGGCACTCTTGTTACAAAGTTTGTTTTTTATATTGTCTCAGACTTGGTGACTTTGAGATTTGGTGTTTGAAATCTTGACATACACAGAAATCCAAGACTTTTTCCCTTTTCATCATTTTAATTATTGTAGCAAAAATCTGATATCAAAAGCAAAAATATTTCCCAGTCTGGCCTTGGAACATAAAAAGTGTGTCTAAAGAAAAAAAAGGTTATTTTTTTTTCCTTTTCAAATTTTATCCTGTCATTTTGAACAACACTACTAACCCATAGTTTAACATTCAGTCTTATAAAAAGACTAAAACTAAAAGCTGTGCTTTTTTAAAGCAGTCTGTTTCCACTTTGACTCATGAAGACAAGTGTTGGTATTTTGTTTGTTAGCACTCTGACCTCTCAGCACGAAGGTCCTGGGCTTGAATCGCAGTTATGCAGCTTTTGTGCATAGAAATTCAAAGTTTTGTGTCCATGTGCTGTTTCTCCTGATACTTTGGTTCCTCCAACAATTAAAAAGGCACTTGAAGTTAATTGGTGATTCCTATAGGACCGTGTGAGTGAACAGTTAGCCTTTGTGTGACTGACTGACTGTCCAGGTTAGAACTGTTTTAAACTGATAACATTTTAGATCTTACAACACCAAAGCAAGCTTATAAAATAAATAGAAAAAAAAATAAGGATACTGAAAAAAACAACTTTTAAAATTCCACCAGCTCAGAAAATGTCACTAATAATAGGAAAAATGTCCTTGCATTTGGAAAAAAATGTTACAAAACAACAAACAGCTGCTTCTAAAGTTTTGACTGCATTCCAGAATAATAAAATCAGCATTTTAAAATGTAATGTTAATGTTTTATAGGCACAGTATGTGAAAGCTAATCATTTTGGAGGAGCATTTGTCTGGTCTCTGGATCTGGATGATTTTGGGGGACACTTCTGTGGTCAAGGAAAATATCCCCTCATCAGTTCTCTGCGCGCGCTTCTTAATTCAGGTAAATTAATTCAGCAATGTCATCATCTCGAATTCTGCAAAAATCTTGATATAACTTTATTAATTTCATTGTTCTGGATGTATTTGTTAGATTTTCCAACACCTCCGCCAGTCAACACCACAAGCCACCCCGACCCAGCTACCACCACCACAAAGGTTTCTTCTGGAAGTGGTTTCTGTGCTGGAAAGGTTAATGGTCTCTACCCAAACCCCACTGATAGAAACAGCTTCTATCAGTGTGTTGACGGGTTTACATATTTGCAGAGATGTCAGCCTAATCTTGTTTACAATGAACATTGCCAGTGCTGCAACTGGTCCTAAATAAATGTCTTTTTTTGGGGGGGGTCAAACAGGAATGTGCTGGGTTGTTATTTATTTGGACCATGGAGGTCACAGAATACTGAATGTAATGCATGGAGTCGTCTAAGTTCTGTAGAACTCAACAAATGTTTAATATTCATCTAATATTAATTTTAATTTATACTCTAATATATTAGACTGACAACTCTCTCACACATCTGGTGTGACAGTCTCATTTTAAATTCTCTGCCCAAACAAATGCTTCACCAAATAAAAGATAAGACTGCAGTCAACGCACCCATCTGTCTGTCCTTTTTCTATACCTGCTCTTTCCTGTTCATGGTTAGATGCAGTTGGTAGAGCTGTTGCCTCTCAGCGAGAAGGTGTTGGTTCAAGTCCCGGCAGGGGGCCTTTCTGGGTGGAGTTTGCATGTTCTCTCCGAGCATTTGTGAGTTTTCTCCACGTACTCCGGTTTTCTCCCACAGACCAAAAACAAGCATGTTAGACTAACTGTTAACTAAATTGCGCCTAGGTGTGAGTGAGAGAGTGAATACCATACCAGCTTTATTTATAGAGCACTTTAAACACCCACGGAACCAAAGTGCGGTATACATAATAAAATAATCAGACAATAAAAAAATTATTAAAATGATTAAAAGTCAACATTACACATGGTGTCAAAGACCAGGGAGAAGAGATGGGTTTTAAGAAGGGATTTTAAAACAGACTGGGAAGAGGCCTGTCTGATGTTCAAGGGAAGGTCGTTCCACAGTTTAGGAGCTGCCACAGCAAAAGCACGGTCTCCTCTGAGCTTACGCTTTGTCTTTGGCACACTCAGGAGCAGCTGATCACATGACCTGAGGGATCGAGAGGGTGACTCAGACAGATAAGGCAGGGCAAGTCCATTAAGAGCTTTAAAAACAAATGAAATCATTTAAAAATGAATCCTAGAATGTACGGGCAGCCAGTGTAGAGAGGCTAAAACAGGGGAAATGTGGTTAAACCGTGCCGTGCAGCAGCATTCTGTACCCTTTGAAGCTGAGCAATACATGAATCACTGATTCCTTTTATAAAGTGTGTTACAGTAGTCCAGCCGAGTGGTCACAAAGGTGTAAACTACCGATTCAAAATGCTGCTGAGAAAGAATCAGCTTCACTTGAGCCAGCTGACTCATGTGGAAAAAAATAGATTTAACAACTGCTCCAACGTGATTTTTTTTATCTTTAATCCAGCATCATTTTTGATCCCCATGTTAGTGATAGTTGGCCTGATGTATTGGGCCAAGGAACCAACATCTACATTGGGAGTCTCAGTAGAGTTTCCATAGACCATCACCTCAGTTTTTTCCTCATTAAACTTTAAGAAGTTCACAGCCATCCAGGCATTTATGTCCTCCAGACATGACAACAAAGGGCCCAGAGTGATGGAATCCTTTTTATTTAGTGGGACATATCTGTGTATCATCCATATAACAATTAAAGGAGATCCCATATTTTCTAAAAATAGAGTCAAGAGGGAGCAGGTTACAGCATGAAGAGGAGGTGACCTAAAACTGAGCCCTGCGGAACCCCATACAAAAGAAGTGCAGAGAAGGACACGTGGTCACCAACGCAGACACAGAAAGTACGCTCGGCTAAGTAGGACCTAAACCAGTCCAGTGCCGCACCACTGACACCTCCCCCCTCCCCCAACAATTGCTTCATACAACAAAGTAAGATGTTATGATCCACTGTGGCAAAAGCAGCTATAAATCTAAAAGCAGGAGGACAACACAGTCATCAGAGTCTGTTGCTAAAAATATGATGAAAACTTTTAAAAAGGCAGATAAAGCAGTAAAACCTCTTTTAAGACTGAAATAAAGCAAAAGTGGAATCATGCACCTTATTAAGTTATATGCTACATCTAAAACAATTAGTTTGTTGCCTCCATCGCTTCCATTTGCTTGTTTGTGGTTGGGATGTACAAACACATGACCCCGGCCGGCAAAAACAAATGGCAGTGGTGTGAATGCTGGGGTCATCCAAGTTTTTGCCTTATCAAAATTAATGCTGTGCCTCATTAAAATGTGTGACTGTCTGACACCTAAAAAATATTTCATACATAGTCTGGTAACGGTTGTGACTTGTGAGCGTCACTGCACGATTTTTTCTGAGACAAAAATAAATAAATGAATTAATAAATCTTACCAGGACAGCGAGACCGAAAGCTCGATCCGTACACTGCGCTGGTTAACAGCACTGGAGGGGTGCACCCAAATTCTTCCCATCTCTTGTCATGAATCAGAATAACTGTGCATGTGCCATTTTTAACGAGAGTCTATGAACTAGATTCCTGCGCCCCCAGGGGCCAGAACTACGTCACCAATCAGATAACGTTTTTGAAAGAAACTACTTATCTCATCATTAACTATAAAATATTTATCTTACACAACTAAAAATATATATTTTATTTGATTATTTCATTTTTATTTAACTTTTTTAAGTCTTCAATGTAAAATGGTGAGTGGTTCCAGTGGGTGGGCGGCGCCCGAACGCCCCCTACAGACGAGCTGTCACTGTGCACAACATACAATATATGCCTGTAAAAATAATCTCACACTACTAAGGCAGTATCTAAGCAGTTCCACGAACAAGGTGTCCTTTTCTCACTTGAGCACCTGCCCTCAAAATGTCTGTGCATACCACTGACAATAAGAACTTAAGGTTGTGCAAGATCTAGGGTTTAAATTTGTCATGGCTGGTAAAGACAACCCTACCTGACAGTTAGCCAAATATCTCATGAACCATCAGACAAATTTTAATGAAACTCTCAGGAAGTATTCATCAGCAACAACACTATTTTTAAGATTCGACATGAAACTCTAAACATTACACATTTTTAAGATAGTATTATCATAATTTATTTCTGCATGGACATCAACTGATGATATGAATTGCTTCAGAATGTTGAAGGTCAAAATTCTATGTTCCGCCGTATAGAACAAGATTTGGGCAGAAATGGGGTCAGACGTGAGTTTAAACGAAAGCGGACTGTGCTGTTTTACAATCACTGACTGGAAATGATTACATGTACTTAAAAGTAGGGCAGGTGAATCACCACTGTATCTGTTTAATAAATGTATCACCTGGTCAAGTTACCCAAAAATATAATCAGACAAATTAATATTTAGAAAAAAATGATTGCTGCTACTTTATATTTGAACCTATAGCCCATAACACATAGTGTAAACTAAAACTCACTTAAAAATAGGTTGTATGTTGTGCACAGTGACATCACCATAGAAACACACTTCATCCTTTTTGTTTTATCAACTCTTATCATTAGAAGCAGGTTAGTGTTTCCTGATCCCAATATAAGAACAAAAGCAAGGTAAACACTCTTATCAATTATAATCAGATTAATAAAAACATAAACGGTGAGCAAACATCACCTCATCACAGGGTGGTGTGACAGTGCCTCAATTGTTCTTCCCAGAAGTTTCCATTAAAGTTCACTAAAGGAAAGCCTTTGTACCCGTCTTCTGTCCCTATAAAAGAGTTCTCGTTGGAGCAGCCAAACATACAGCAGATCACTCAAGAAAAGGTACCATAGTCATTAGGAGTTTAAAGTAGACTTTATTTTTCAGATTGCTTTGAGAAAAGGTTTACTTTAGGACAACATGGCTCGGCTGATGATCTTGGCTGGTAGGTTCATTGATCTAGATGCTGATTAGATCACCAGCTTGTCAAAACCTATTACTGGTTATTAATCAAATTGTTTTGGATTTTTTTTTTCCTTCAGGATTGACTCTTCTGATGTGTCTTCAAACTGGTACGATTAATTATTTTTATGTTCATTGTGTTTGCATTTGAATCACAGAGTATAGAAATATTTCTAACACTTTCACTCTTTTCTCAAAGTTTCTTCAATCAAACTGGTGTGCTACTTTACCAACTGGTCCCAATATAGACCAGGTGATGGTAAATACCTCCCTGACAAAGTGGAAGCGCTCCTCTGCACACACCTGATTTATGCCTACTCAGAAATTAGCCCGTCTAATGAGCTGAAAACATATGAGTGGAATGATGAGGTTCTCTATAAAGTCTTCAATGGAATGAAGGACAGGTGAGCTGTTTCTGCTTCAACATCACCTGGAAATTACAAATCAAAGGAACAACGTAGATATGGTTCTGTGATATATTTTTGTTAAGTTGTTGTTCTAATTAATCTACATTTCACTTATAGAAAAAAAAAACAGTTAAAACTTGATATCACTACAAATACAATTAATTGTTTGAAAGTAGTGGTGTGACAAAAACTACAGTATGTCTATCCAAATGACATTCATAACTTCTACATATCCATCACAGAAACCCTAAGCTGAAGACTCTGTTGTCGGTTGGTGGGTTTAACGCTGGAACATCACGGTGAGTCTACGATACAAAACTACTACAACATGTTTGTTGCACCACATCATTGCATTGTAACTAAGAAACATCCAGAAATATTTTCTGCAGTCACTGTTTTTTTTTTATGTCCACAGATTTCACAGCATGGCTTCAACTCCTGCCAACCGTCAGGTGTTCATCCAGTCTGCCATCAGGTTTTTGAGACAGCATGGCTTTGATGGGCTGGACCTGGACTGGGAGTACCCAGGACACTATGGAAACAAAGAGGACAAGCAAAAATTCACGTTGCTCTGCCAGGTCTGTCTACAAACATCCATCCCCCGTTAACATGCACCTGCAAGACGCGTTTTATCTTCAAGTAGTTCAGAATTTTTCCTGTGCATTTTAATTAGAAGTGTGATTAAGTTCATGTTTGAGCTTACCGATTCTTTTTTAATTAAACAACAAATAATGTGACTTTTTCTGTTTCACATTTAGGAATTGCATGCAGCTTTTGAGAAGGAGGCGGTTCAGACCAACAGGTCACGGCTGCTGCTGTCAGCCGCAGTGGCAGCTGGACAGGAAATCATTGACAACTCTTATGAGGTTGCTGATGTGGCTCGGTAAGTTCATGTTAAATAATGTTGTTGGAATATTTACATATTTTTTTGTTTTCATATGAAAAAACACAACTTTTCAACCCCTGACTAAAATAGGTAAGGGCCCTGACAGAGTGGAGAAAGATTCAGTGAAGCTGCATGTGCTAAACGGACACGTGACTTTATTACAATGATTCAAAATACAAATCAGAATAAATAGATAACAGTTAGTGTCGGACCTATCAAACTCTGTCAAATGTTAGTTAATGTTGTCTAATACAAGGCAACCTTTGTGTTTGCTGACCTTC